ACCGAACTCGGAAAGCTGCCCCTAGACGATAAACCGGTCTAATGTGCTCAACACCGAGCTAACAAACCTTCTGATGAACCGAGGTAAAACCAGCCCACTAAGCCGAAGTAGGATTTGTATATCTTGCTTATAATTTGTAGCGCGGTCCAACGATCTGTGCTTAACCCCTTTGTTTTCTACTTTGCAGACTTAGGTTGCCCAGGCACTCCTGCGTGTGCTCAACCGAGCTACTGAGCCTAGTTTTTGTACCGAAATAATTTATTCATAAATTATACAACAAATGGGTAAGTATAGATATTTAGTCGAAACCCCTGGTGGCATGGCCGAATTTAGGCAAGATTACCAGATTCCCGATGACGTCCAACTGGTGTTGGCCAAAAAAGATGCTACTCCCTGGGACAATGAAGGCTTCGTCCCTTTTACCCTTCAATCCATAATAGAAACCGGACTACGGTTTCCTGTCCAACAGCTAATCTGCGAATTTCTTAGACAGATTAGGTTGTGCCCCACCCAACTGTCCACCAATACATATCGTATTATAATGGGAATAGCCGCATTAAACCACCAAACCGGACTAAATCTTGGCCTAGCCGAAATATTCCATCAGTATTCCATCGGCTCAAAGAATGCTGGGTGGGTCTATTACCTTAGAATTCGCCGCCGCCGAGAGAAGATAATTAAACACACTCCGGACAAAGATCTTAACGATGACGATTTCTTTTGGGTCTCTGGGAACTTTGAGGATTTTCAAGCTCAAATTCCTGGCCGACCTATAAATTGGAAAATGGGAGAGCCTGGTAATTTAACTTCGGTCTCCTTCTCTGTATTTTATTTCGGTTCTTCAGTCCATTGACCGAACTAACACTTCTCTTTTTTGCAGATTTTGCCCACCTCCGTTCTCAATATAGTTATCCCAACCTTGCAATTTTGCGAGCCGCACTACGGTGCCAAGAGAGGAGTTGGGCTAAGCTTCTGAATTTTGAACCGACCTACCGGTACAGCGGTCGACGGAAAGCAAAGGTAACCGATTTTCTTCTCGAGGAAGACCCAGAACCGGACCCAACTTTGCCCGAGATAAGACTTGTCCCCCTAACAGCTGAAGAAGAAATGGCAAAGAAAAGCAGAGTTAGGGCCCTCCTGACCGCAACAACCAGGGCCGAATTAACACCAACTACTGAGGTGCAGCCCGCCGTCGTGGCCCTTCCCTCACAACGGCCTTCTTCATCTCGCCCTTCAAAACGGGCCCGATCTACGTCAGCCGAACAGCAACTTGTTGATGAAGTCGAATCCGTCCCCCAAAGTCCTCATCCTGCCCCCCAACTAGAGCAAACTGACCGAGCTCGATCTCCGAAGTGGGCTCCGCCGCTGATCTTCAACGACCGAAACATCAAAGCCACTGACTCGGTCGTGGCTGAAAAAGACCACCAACTGGCCTTTAACCTGGCCAAAAGTGTGTGCCTCCCCAAGGACATGGAGCACCACTTGAAGCAGCTGAACACCGAAATGAAATCAATTCGGTCTGCTTCCAAGTCCATGATCTTGGTAAGTAGCTCTGTCTGTTTTTTTCTGTCTAAATTTTTCCAACTTTTACTTCAGTTGAGAAGAAATCTTTGTTTTGCCAGGCCTTGCAAAAGAACAATATCACTTATAGGAAAGTCCAAGAACTCCGGAAGACCACAAGGCAAGCGATGGCGGAAGCCGAAGCAAAGGCGGCCGAACTACTAGATGCCGAAAAGAGAATGGCTGAGCTAGAGGCGGAGAACGGTCGTCTTGCCGATCTAGTTAGTTCGGCGGAAGCGGAGAAGCAGAAAGCAGCCATCGTTATGAAGGACAAGTATCTGCGGGAGTTGTTGAAGCTCGAGAAGAGAAAGGACGCCGAAATAAGCGAACTGAAAAAGAACATGGAGGCGGTCGACAAGGGGGGGTACAAGCGAGGTTTCAAGGAGGCAGAAGCGGCCTACGTCAAGCAATGCGATGCCGCCAAAGAGCTTTTCTTCAAGTGCGGCTGGAGGGCGGCTGTGGAGAAGCTCGGTCATGATCAACAGACCGAGGTCTTCAACCCTCCAGAGTACTTTATACCGAAGTCCCTTGCGGGGTATGCGGATGCCATGCAGCAGCAATTCCTTGAAGGTTCAGATACTGACGAAGATTCTGCTTCTGAGGATACTCCGGTTGAAAACGTGGATCAGATAGATCGGCCGGAGTCCAGAGTGGAAGATCTGACTATTGAACAGCCAAATGAAACTGTGGCTCCGGTCGATACCACTATTGTGACTGAAGGAGTCCTGCCGCCAGAGACCGGTCTTCCAGCTGACACTGATGCTGCCTTTGATGCCGAGATTGAAGATCTTTTCGCTTGACTTTGTATTCTTTTTCTTTGTAACCGAACTACACTCGTTTGTAATGACTTTTTCTTTGAATGAAAATTTTACGCAACTCTCATTCCGGTTGTTGTGTGTATGCTTGCATTTGTAATGCCTTTAATTACTCCAACTTGTATTTCGGTTTTGGCTTTTTAAACTATACTTACCAGCCAACCACTCCTTAGCCGATATACTTACTTCGGCTAAGGAGTACAAAGTGTAGGTTTATTCCAGCCAACCACTCTTCAGCCATACACTTACTTCGGCTAAGGAGTACAAAGTGTTGGTTTAATCCAGCCAACCACTCCTTAGTCATGCACTTACTTCGGCTAAGGAGTACAAAGTGTTGGTTTATTCCAGCCAACCACTCCTTAGTCATGCACTTACTTCGGCTAAGGAGTACAAAGTGTTGGTTTATTCCAGCCAACCACTCCTTAGTCATGCACTTACTTCGGCTAAGGAGTACAAAGTGTTGGTTTATTCCAGCCAACCACTCCTTAGTCATGCACTTACTTCGGCTAAGGAGTACAAAGTGTTGGTTTATTCCAGCCAACCACTCCTTAGTCATGCACTTACTTCGGCTAAGGAGTACAAAGTGTTGGTTTATTCCAGCCAACCACTCCTTAGTCATGCACTTACTTCGGCTAAGGAGTACAAAGTGTTGGTTTATTCCAGCCAACCACTCCTTAGTCATGCACTTACTTCGGCTAAGGAGTACAAAGTGTTGGTTTATTCCAGCCAACCACTCCTTAGTCATGCACTTACTTCGGCTAAGGAGTACAAAGTGTTGGTTTATTCCAGCCAACCACTCCTTAGTCATGCACTTACTTCGGCTAAGGAGTACAAAGTGTTGGTTTATTCCAGCCAACCACTCCTTAGTCATGCACTTACTTCGGCTAAGGAGTACAAAGTGTTGGTTTATTCCAGCCAACCACTCCTTAGTCATGCACTTACTTCGGCTAAGGAGTACAAAGTGTTGGTTTATTCCAGCCAACCACTCCTTAGTCATGCACTTACTTCGGCTAAGGAGTACAAAGTGTTGGTTTATTCCAGCCAACCACTCCTTAGTCATGCACTTACTTCGGCTAAGGAGTACAAAGTGTTGGTTTATTCCAGCCAACCACTCCTTAGTCATGCACTTACTTCGGCTAAGGAGTACAAAGTGTTGGTTTATTCCAGCCAACCACTCCTTAGTCATGCACTTACTTCGGCTAAGGAGTACAAAGTGTTGGTTTATTCCAGCCAACCACTCCTTAGTCATGCACTTACTTCGGCTAAGGAGTACAAAGTGTTGGTTTATTCCAGCCAACCACTCCTTAGTCATGCACTGAAAAGCAAAGGTAACCGATTTTCTTCTTGAGGAAGCACCGGAACCGGACCCAACTTTGCCCGAAATAAGACTTGTTCCATTGACTGCTGAGGAAGAAATGGCAAAGAAGAGCAGAGTCAGGGCCCTTCTAACTTCAACAACCAGAGGCGAAGTACAGCCATCCATCGAGGCGCAGCCTGCCGTAGTGGCCCTTCCTTCTCAGCAGCCTTCTTCATCTCGGCCCTCCAAACGCGCCCGAACTACACCGGCCGAACAGCAACTTGTTGAAGAGGTCGAATCCATCCCACGAAGTCCTCAACCTTCCCCCCAACCGGAGCAAACTGACCGTCCTGGATCTCCGAAGTGGGCTCCGCCGCTGACCTTCAACGACCGAGACATCAAAGCTACTGACTCGGTCGTGGCTGAAAAAGACCACCTATTGGCTTTTAACCTGGCAAAAAGTGTGTGCCCCCCTGGTTAAAAACGTCTCTTCAATCATAGCGTCTGTAACGCTTCCCATTCCAGTGACACGTGGCAGGCTCTGATTGGCTAAGGACGGCTGTCACGCCGTCTTCGTACTTCGTGAATTTGAAACAGTTCCCGCCCTTTTTGCTTTTACACAGGACAGTCCCTTTTCACAAAATAACTTTCCCACTTCTGAATCATTTACCTGCGTCTACCTTCCCTCTCTGTCTCCATCTTCTTTCTGTGCCTCTACTTCCATACTCAAGCTTGTGTTCTTCGTTTGCTGTGACCGTTCCATCTGTAGTTCTTTCTTCAATCTGGTAAGTAAATCCATTCTCTTCTTCTGTTTTCGCTTATGTTGCTTTCCATGCTTTTGCAAAACATTTCTTCCATTTTTGCTATACTTCTGTATTTTTACGAAAAAACCAGTAGAACTCATGTGTGTATTAACTATTTTGTAGGAAAATAGTCTTAGATCCAAAATCACCTAGCAACCGGACTAGGATACTGTTTGTGTTATGTATGTAGATAGATTCAGAAAATAACCGAACTAGAACTTGTAGGCATATCAGTAGCTTCTTCTGAACCACTCTAGCCGAGATAAGATCACCGAACAAGCTTGCACATACCGAACTTAGGTACTTCGGTCTATAACCGAGCTAAGCTTTCGGGGCCAAGCCGGTTTTCTACGTTCTTAAACCGAACTCGGAAAGCCGCCCCTAGAGGCTTGACCGAAGTAACTTTCCTCATACCGCAACCGATTTAAGCCTTGGGACTAAACCAGCTTTCTTAGTTTTTAGACCGAACTCAGAAAGCAGCCCCTAGTCATTAAGCCGGTCTAAACTGCTCAAAACCGAGCTAACAAACCTTCTGATGGGCCGAGGTAGAACCAGCCCACTGAGCCGAAGTAGGATTTGTATATCTTGCTTATAATTTGTAGCGCGGTCCAACGATCTGTGCTTAACCCCTTTGTTTTCTACCTTGCAGACTTAGGTTGCCCAGGCACTCCTGCGTGTGCTCAACCGAGCTACTGAGCCAAATTTTTGTACCGAAATAACTTATCCGTAATTTATACAACAAATGGGTAAGTATAGATATTTAGTCGAAACCCCTGGTGGCATGGCCGAATTTAGGCAGGACTACCAGATTCCTGATGATGTCCAACTGGTGTTGGCCAAGAAAGATGCTACTCCCTGGGACAATGAAGGCTTCGTCCCTTTTACCCTTCAATCCATAATAGAAACCGGACTGCGGTTTCCCGTCCAACCACTGATTTGTGAGTTCCTTAGGCAGACTAGGTTATGCCCCACCCAGCTGTCCACCAATACATACCGTATTATCATGGGCATAGCCGCCCTAAACCACCAAACCGGTTTAAACCTTGGCCTTGCCGAAATATTCCATCAGTATTCCATCGGCTCGAAGAATGCTGGGGGGGTCTATTACCTTAGAATTCGCCGCCGCCGAGAGAAGATAATTAAGCACACTCCGGACAAAGATCTTAACGATGATGATTTCTTTTGGGTCTCTGGGAACTTTGAGGATTTTCAAGCTCAAATTCCTGGCCGACCTATAAATTGGAAAATGGGAGAGCCTGGTAATTTTACTTCGGTCTTCTGCTTTGTGTGTTATCTCGGTTATTTAGTCTACTAGCCGAACTAACACTTCTCTTTTTTGCAGATTTCGCCCATCTCCACTCCTTGTATAGCTATCCTAACCTCGGCGTTTTGCGAGCCGCATTTCGGGTTAAAGAAAGAGATTGGGCCAAGCTTCTAAATTTCGAACCGACCTACCGTTACAGCGGTCGACGGAAAGCAAAGGTAACCGATTTTCTTCTCGAGGAAGCACCGGAGCCGGACCCCACTTTGCCCGAGATAAGACTTGTTCCATTAACCGCTGAGGAAGAAATGGCTAAGAAGAGCAGAGTCAGGGCCCTTCTAACTTCAACAACTAGAGCCGAAGTAACACCAACTACTGAGGTGCAGCCTGCCGTCGTGGCCCTTCCTTCACAACGGCCTTCTTCATCTCGCCCTTCAAAACGCGCCCGATCTACGTCAGCCGAACAACAACTTGTTGATGAAATCGAATCCGTCCCCCAAAGTCCTCATCCTGCGTCCCAACCAGAGCAAACTGACCGAGCTCGTTCTCCGAAGTGGGCTCCGCCTTTGATCTTCAATGACCGAAACATCAAGGCCACTGATTCGGTCGTGGCTGAAAAAGACCACCAACTGGCCTTTAACCTGGCCAAAAGTGTGTGCCTCCCCAAGGACATGGAGCACTACTTGAAGCAACTGAACACCGAAATGAAATCAATTCGGTCTGCTTCCAAGTCCATGATCTTGTTAAGTACCTCTGTCTGTTTTTTCTGTCTAAATTTTTCAAACTTTTACTTCGGTTGAGATGAGATTTTTGTTTTGCCAGGCCTTGCAAAAGAACAATGTCACTTATAGGAAAGTCCAAGAACTTCGCAAAACCACAAGGTAGGCGATGGCGGAAGCCGAAGCAAAGGCGGCCGAACTACTACAAGCCGAAAAAAGAATGGCCGAGCTAGAAGCGGAGAACGGCCATCTTGCCGATCTAGTTAATTCGGCGGAAGCGGAGAAGCAGAAAGCTGCCATCGTTATGAAGGACAAGTATTTGCGGGAGTTGTTGAAAGAAGGTAAAAGAGGCTGACAAGCAGGGCTTCAAGAGGGCAGAGGACGCTTACGCCCAACAATGTAATGCTGCCAAGGATCTTTTCTTTAAGTGCGGCTGGAGGGGAGCCGTTGAGAAGCTCGGTCATGATCCTCAGACCGAGGTTTTCAACCCTCCAGCCTACTTTATACCTAGCTCTTTGATGGAATATGCCACGGCCATGCAACAGCAGTTCCTTGAGGGCTCAGACGATGAAGATTCTGATGAAGACTCTGCCCCTGGGGATACTTCGGTTGTGAATGTGGATCAGATAGATCGGCCGGAGTCCAGAGTGGAAGATCTGACTATTGAACGGCCAAATGAAACTGTGGCTCCGGTCGAGACCACTATTGTGACTGAAGGAGTCCTGCCGCCAGAGACCGGTCTTCCAGCTGACACTGACGCTGCCTTTGATGCCGAGATTGAAGATCTTTTCGCTTGACTTTGTATTCTTTTTCTTTTTGTTATTTCGTCTTTGTAACCGGGCTATGCCCCTTTTGTACTTACTTTTTCAATGAATGGAAATTTTGCTCTTACTCCGGTTTTGTTGTGTATGCTTGCGCTGTGATGTCTTCTAATTACTTCAACTGTTATTACGGTTTTGGTTGGTTAAAGTATGCTTACTAGCCAACCACTCCTTGGCCGATATACTTACTTCGGCTGAGGAGTACCATGTGTTGGTTTATTCCAGCCAACCACTCTTCGACCATGCTCTTACTTCGGTTGAAGAGTAACAAGAGTTGGTTTATTCCAGCCAACCACTCTTCAGCCTTGCACTTACTTCGGCTGAAGAGTAACAAGTGTTGGTTTATTCCAGCCAACCACTCTTCAGCCTTACACTTACTTCGGCTGAAGAGTAACAGGAGTTGGTTTATTCCAGCCAACCTCTAAGTTAGTTTTTCCGGCTAACTTAGAATGAAAGATGCTAGCAATGCGTCTAATATCTACTAAAACTAATTTTTACAAGGAACAACTTGTGCTCAAAAAGAATTTCTCATTTTATTGAAGGAAGAGAAAATTACATATGTTTGAGAAAGAAAAGTTAAAAGTAAAATAACTTGAGATTGGCCGTATTCCATGGCCTAGGGATTGCCTTGCCATCCTTGTCTTCTAGGTGGTATGCCCCTTTGCCTGCTAATCCAATCACCTTATAAGGACCTTCCCAATTTGGGCCTAACTTGCCGTCTCCTGGGACCAAGGTGTTTCCCATTACTTTGCGCAGTACCCAATCGCCAATTTTGAATTGTCTTGGATGAACCTTTTTGCTGTATTTTCTGATTAACTCTCGTTGGTATGAGGCGATGTGGACTAGTGCTCTTTCTCTTCTTTCTTCTGCAAGGTCGAGTTCTAAGGCTATGGCTTCTCCATTTATTTGCACTCATTCTCCATATATATTCTTCAAATATGAAGTCCGGAACTCAAAAAGGTTATGTCTTCATTTTCTAAACCATTGCGTGCAATTGAAGTTCCATGTTGCAGCATTCAGACTCTATAAAGTATAAACCGCTTGATCAATGCCAGTTTCTCGGAAAAGTAACAAACGTATTAGAATTTGCATTGACTGAAAATTTATGCAGAAATAGTGTCACTTCACCACACGGGGCTGGTTGAATAATCTAGCTAACAGTAACAACACTAGATACATTGTTTATTTGTGCAAAGCATATCAATTCTGGTAAAAAATAAAAATAAGTAGCACAGCCAAGATGTTTTAGAAGGAAATAAAATATTATTTAAATACCTGCAGTTTAGGTTGAAGTGCCTTGAGTGGTCCTTTGGGCTTCTCTCCACCTTGCTGTTATCATCCACACACATTGAACAGTATTAGGTAATTAAGATGACACAGGTACTTCTACTATTACCAGCCTCTAGCCCCAAGTAAAAGGATGGGCCACAGAAGGAGGTACCTTCCCCAGAGCCCAATCAGCAGAGTCAAAGTAAGCACGTTCATGGTCCTGAAATCAAAAGTATAGTGTCTGAGTGGAGACGAGCACAAACTAGCATCTCTTGCAAACGATTTTTCGAACATTTTTGTGAGAAGAGAGTCATCAATAAAATTGAATTAAGACATTACCTTAGAAATAAGTGGTGGTTTCTTGAAATAGCCCTGTAAGCGAGCGACCTTCCTCCTTGATGACTTCCACACACCCCTTCATGTATTTCGAACAAGAAGGCTTCTACTTTGCTGGGATGAACGCACTTGAGGTAAGGCCCAGAAAATGATTTCTTGTATAATGCCAAAGATGGAGATAACCAAAATCGCTGCGACTTTGCCCTTATTTTGTTGGCTTCTTTTTTTTCTTCTGGTAGGATGCCGTCTTTTAGGAACAGGATGATGGGATCCATCCAAGAGGGGCCTAGTTCTGTGCAACATACTTCTTCCGCTTCGGGGTCTTCTATGCTTGGTCTAGGTAGGTAGTCGATCAGTAGTGGATGGGGCATGGAGGTATCTGCCATGGAGGCGAAACCTGCTAGTTCGTCTGTTCTGCTGTTTTCCTCCCTGCCGATTTGCTCTATCCTTACTACTTCAAATTTCTTGATCTCTGTTCTGACCTGACTAACTCTTGGTACTTGGCCATTCTGTCGTCCTTTGCTTCGTATTCGCCAGAAATTTGGTTCACCACCAGCAGAGAGTCACTGTACACCATTAGTTCGGTTGCTTTCATGAAGTTTGCCGACTTGAGTCCTGCGAGAAGCGCCTCATACTCCGCTTCATTGTTGGATGCTGGGAAGCCAAGGTTGATTGCTTGCTCTATAACCAGGCCGTCTGGAGAGATGAGGACTATGCCAAGCCCTGCGCCATGTCGGTTGGATGCTCCATCCACAAAGAGCTTCCACATCTCTCCAACGAATAATTTCCAGCAAGTGGAAGGATCAGATGATGCCGTGAGGTCTAGAATGGTGTTCTCTTCAAGGTCCATGTTGGCTATCTGTCCTTCGTCATCTGTTTGAACTGTTGGTGAGCCTTTGTTTGTCTCTTCCTCGCTATTCTTAGTATGGTCTGCCTTGGTGCTTGATTGACTACCTTCTAGTAGGGGTTGCGCTATTCCGGCGTCAACTTCCGTCCCTAGTTCGGTTGTGTTAGTCAGGTCGACTGGGCAGATGTGATGACTTCCAGGGGTAAATTCTGCGACAAAGTCTGCCAAAGATTGGGCTTTTATTGCTGTCTTGGGTTGGAATTTGATGTCGAATTGTCCCAACTCCACTGCCCACTTCAAAATTCGCCCACTAAAGTTCGCCCTTTCAAACAGAGCTCTTAGTGGAAAGGCCGTGAGGACGACTATGGTGTGGGCATGAAAGTAGTGCGCCAATTTTCTGGATGCCATCATTAATGCTAATGCTAGTTTCTCCAAGGGTAAGTACCTTGTTTCGGCTCCCAACAATGTCTTGCTGACATAAAAGATGGGCAGGTGTTGTGTTCCTTCTGCGTGAACCAACACTGCGCTGACTGCGTGCTGAGAAACTGCCAGGTACAAAAAGAGTTCTTCACCAGGTACTGGAGTAACAAGTAGTGGTGGAGAAGACATGTATTCCTTCAAGCTTTCTAGAGCTCGGTCGCATTCTTCGTCCCACTCAAACTTGGCCTTTAAAGCTTGGAAGAATGGTCGTAGCCTGTCTGATGACCTGCTTATGAACCGGTTGAGTGCAGCCGCCATACCAGTGAGATGCTGCACTTCTTTGACTGAATTTGGTCTCTCCAACTCCTGGATTGCTTTGATCTGAGAGGGGTCTGCTTCTATACCTCGGTTGGTCACCAAGAAGCCCAAGAATTTGCCAGATCCAACTCCGAACGCACATTTGGATGCATTGAGGCGCAGTTTGTGTTTCTTCAAGATCTGGAACATCTCGCCTAGATCTTTAAGGT